CCTGTCATACATCCATTCATGCATCTATTCATGCATCCATGCGTGCATTCACGCATGCATGCATGCGTCCCTGTCATCCATCCATTCATGCATCTATTCACGCATCCATGCATGCATGCACACCCATCATCCATCTAGATTTGTTGACAATAGGATCCCGCCAAGAAATGCAGCCATGGCGCGGCTACGTAGTCCGCTTCTTCATTCTGCTGAGATGCGACCCTGTCCAATCCACCTGCCGGAATCTTTCAAAGCTTAGAGACTTTTGGAAAGATGTCTGGAGTGAACTTCTGAGCTGCCTTCATGCTGCCCTTGATTCGCATTTTGCCTCTGCGTGCGCCAAAAGGATGTCAAAAGGGAATACACCAAGCCAATGAGCAAGCCAACCACCTTAAAACCCTAACGTATAGAAAGGAGGCATATAAGTAAGTTGATCTAGTTTGAAAAAATGTAAATCCAGCAAATGGCACATAGGAACATACTCCAATGTAAAGTGTGTGTGTGTGTGTGTGTGTGTGTGTGTGTGTGTGTCATCATAACAACCCTTTTTTTTTTTTTTTTTTTTTTTCCGATTCCCGATGGACTACGGATCAGATATTGAACTGATCAGAACAGATTAAGTGTAACTAACCCTTTTCCACCCAGATGAGTATATCCAAATTTGAAACAAACTGCTTGACCTTCTTTCTTCTACACGCAAGCTGTCTCCACAACAAAACCCCTTTTCCACCTAGATGCACATATCCAGAATTGAAACGAACTGTTTGACTTCAGAATCTTCCACAGCGAACATCATGAAGCACACAAACACCATGATATTGCCGTGTTGTCATGCAATTCTGTTTTTGCCCTTATATTGCCCTTTCCTTATGCTTATGCACCTGTGTGTGTGTGTGTGTGTGGGCTGTCTCTTATACACATCTAGATGTGTATAAGAGACAGCTCTCACAGTCCTCACTATTCCTTCCCCACTAGCTCCCCCTATGCCACTGCCTAACCATGGTTAGTAGTCGTCCTCCTCGCCTCACCCGTCTTCCTCTTCCTCGTGCCATTGCTCGATACACCATCATCATTCGATTCATTCCCTTTTTTTTTTTTTTTTCAAACCAAAACCCTCGAGTCCCAAGGCTGCTATCCGGATCATTCACATTCTTTCTCTAATTATCCTGAAAAACAAAGGATAAAAATCTCGCTTTCCTCACAAACTTCTTATCACAGAGCTGACCAGACCCTGTTTACCCCTTCCTCCCCCTACCCCACCTTCGCTCCCCTATGGCGCTGCCTAACCATCGCTATACTGCATTCTCCTCTCCCCGCCGCCCTAGCTCTCCCGACATCCCTGCTAAATCGTGGTCAGTCGTAGTCTTCCTCGCCTTACTCGTCCAAGCGCTGCTCCTCTTCCCCCCGTTCCTCCTACACTTCTTCCTCCTTGTCCTCCCTTCTCCTACCGCTTCTCCTTCTCTTCCTCCTCCTCACCCTCCTCTCCCACAGAGTGCTCAGTTGTCCATTTCATCAGAAGTCCTCCCTGGTCATGACTACCAACACCTTTCCTGCCAGATAGGACAGCCAGCTCATCAACCTCCTCCTCCTCCTCCTACACATCCTCCTCCTCCTCCTCCTCTTCCTCCTCTTCCTCCTCTTCCACAGAGTGCTGATACGTCCGAAGCCCAATTGCACCATGTTTCATAACAAGCCCTCCCTGGTCACGATTACAAACACCTTTCCTGCTAGACACGACAGCCAGCTCATCCACCTCTGCCTCCACGTCCGCGAGAAAACGGTCATCGTCATCATCATCAGCGTCAGTCAAGATATTGCTTGTACCTCCACGAGCCCTCGAATGCAAACTAGCACCGAACTCCTCCTCCTCCTCATCATCATCATCATCATAGAGCGCACTTCTTCTTCTCCTCCTCCTCCCGTTCTCCATCCCCAGATCATCATGATGCTCCCTTTCCACGTCCTCATCAGAGCAATCCACCTCCCCCTCCTCCCCCCCTTCCTCCTCCTCCTCCACCTCCTCCTCCTCCTCCCTTTCTCCCAGGTTGACAGCTTCCTCCTCCGCGTCCTTTCCACTGCCACGTGTCGAATTGCCTCCTCCTCCATCGTCTCCTTCCCTAGCCAGCAATGCCTGCTCTGCACTCTCCATCCGATCCCGGAGTTTCATAAGCATGGCCTCTTCCACCTGAAGGTAATGGAGCTCCTTACCTACCTTGGCCTGCATCTCGTGCAGCATGGCCGCCTCTTCGTCAAGAAGACGTGCTAGCTGTTGAGTGCTCAGATGGTCAACTGAAGATCGATGGCCATACATGGTAGGGAGCGCTCTGCTTTGCACGAATCACAACACACCGGACAAAAACTCTCCACTCCTGTGCGAGAGGGAGGAGAGAGAGAGAGAGAGAGAGAGAGAGAGAGACAGACAGACAGACAGACAGACAGACAGACAGACAGACAGACAGAGGGCAATCACCATCACCACAAGATTGACGGTCACACATGGCTATGCTTATCACGAAAATGAAACCCCAGACAAAACCCTCCAATCATCTGCGAGAGGAGAGGGAGAGAGAGAGAGCGAGGGAGAGAGAGAGAGCGAGGGAGAGAGGGAGGGTAATCACCATCAACACAAGATCGACGGTCATGCATGGCTCTCCCAAAGAGAGAGAACGAGAGAGAGCAGAAGGAAATCAACGTCAACGTCAACACGAGGGGGGGGGAGCACGAGGACGAGGAAGAGGAGGAGGACAATTACGCTAACGAAGCATTCCTCCCGTCGAGAAACACGGGACGCAAACTTCAAACTTGTGTGACAGAACAGCAGACGTAAGAGACATGACTGAAAATGTGCGTGTGAGGAGGAAGGAGGGAGAGAGACAGAGAGAGAGAGAGAGAGGCAGAGAAAATGTGTGTGTGTGTGTGTCAGAGAGAGACAGAGAGAGGAAGAAAAAATGTGTGCGTCAGGGAGAGAGAAAGAAATGCGAGAACAACATCTACTCTCTGTTCGCTCTTGATGTATGTACAGTACACGTTTCCTTTTAAGATAAATTTATCCTGTTCAGATAATATATTTATCCTTCTGAGACATGTGTATCCTGTTCACATCTACTTATCCTTTTCAGATACGTTTCTTTTCAAAAAAAGCCTTCTTCTCCCATCCGGTTTGCAAATGAAAGTTCTCACAAAAAAAAAATCAGATTAGATTGGCTGTGCTCCAGCTTCCTTCCCACTCTCTCGGCCAAACAGCCCACCAACTTTTTTCAGATTAGATTGGATGTGCTCCCGCTTTCAAAATGCCAGGGAAAAAAAAAAAAAAAAAAAAAAAAGACAGGGCATGAATAAAGAAAGGTGAGACGGCAATTAGCTTTATATAAGCGGGAAAAAAAAGGAAAAAGAAAGAAAAAAGGAGAAAAAAGAGAAGGTGAGACGCCAGGGAAGTGGGGCGTAGGCCTCCCAAAGGGTAACAGAGGCGTGCAAAGGTTACCTCAGGCTGGAGAGAAATCAGCCATTGAGTGGAAAGGCAAAAGGGAGCTTGAGGAGACCCGGAATATGAATTCTTCAGTAGTTCTTGGCTGTTTTGCTCCCATTATTCTGGATTCCAAAAAAAAAAAAAAAAAAAAAAAAGAGCTTGACTGCAAGACTGAGTCGTCGAGCAGGGAAGAAAGTCGGCCTTAGTGATCCGACGGTACCGAGTGGAAGGGCCGACGCGGGAGAGAGCAGCACAACAGGAAAGAGAGGGAAAGATGAATAGAGAGGACGGGAGAGAAGGCCAGACAAGTACAGACCTAGGCATCGGGAGAAACACGGGGAAAGTGAGAGAGAGAGAGAGAGAGAGAGAGAGACAGAGAGACAGAGAGAGAGGATGGGAGAGAAGGCCAGACATCCTTCATTTCTTAACCTAGATTGCAGAGATCGATGGTCAGAAATGAAGGATTTGGGCAAGGGGGACTTGGCCCCCGGCCTCATAGTTTGCGTCATGATAAAGGACCCCTTTGCTTTTCCCCAAAAGGGAAAAAAAACGAAAGACCCTTTCCCATGTGCCCCTGTACCCCCCGACCATCCTTTCTATCTGCCAAGTTCAGGAGTGCCTGCCTGTCGGGAGCAGCAGGTAACGGGCAAAAGAAGAGCTTTGGGGCAAAAGAGCTTTGGGCCAAGTTCAGGAGTGCCTGCTTGTCGGGCCTGGAATGTTTAAAAAACAAAAAGTTCCCCTTGCCCAAAGGGCAATCGACAGAAGGAAGGATTTGGGCAAGGGGGACTTGGCCAGTGCGGCTGCGCCCTCACACATGGAAATGTCAATGAGATATTCGGGGTCAAAGTAAATATCCATCTGCAGATCTCATGCTCTCTCTCTCTCTCTCTCTCTCTCTCTCTCTCTCTCTCTCTCTCTCTCTCTCTCTCTCTCTCTCTCTCTCTCTCTCTCTCTCTCTCCCTACCTGCTCGCCTTTTTCCCTGTCTTCCTTCTCCTTTGCCTCCCTTCCACCTGGCTGATTCCATCTTTCAACTTGCACACTCCATCCCCCTTCCCGATGTACCTCCCACCAATCCGATTTATTCTTTTTTCATCCGATTTTTAGAATCCTCTTCTCTGTTAGTCCTGTGTCTGTCGCCTCTCTTCCCGCCGTCCTCACCCCTTTCTCTCC